GGAGGGGTGTGCAGGGGGGAGGGGTAGACTAGAATGGAGAGAGCAGGTACCATCAAAACACCTGGACATTTACTAAAGAGAAACCCAGAAGGGCCAGTCTCTGGCAGCGCCTGGTGTCCAGTGAGAGCAGAGAGCGAAGACAGATTCGAGCTACACACAGGAGATAAAATCGACATGACACTCTGTCCGCACAATTCTTTCACCAGGAGTTACTGTAGGAGGTGGACACGTGGAAGGACACGACGCGGGAAACGCAGCTTCTAGAACGACCCCTGCGGCTGCCGCAGAGAACTCTCCCCCACGCCGCCCTCCAGCCGACACGGCCGACCCCAGCGGGAGCCCGGGACTTACAGACAGAGTTCTTGTGGCTGCTGTCCTTGCTTGGCAGCATCTTCACGCCTCTGGACTTCAGCTCAATCGCCTTTTTCACTGGAAGAAACAAAACAAAGCCGTTAGCAGGTAAGAACTGCAGCGGTGCCCTATGGTGTTCTGTTATCACAGCATCTCCAGTCATAACCGCTTTCCTACCAACCTCTGGAAAACGGGACACGTTCTGAGGGGTTCATGATGCGAAGGCCATGAAGGAGAAGAGCTTGGGGATAATTAATGCAAGGCAATCACACAGCAAGACGGGGCCTTTTCGCTGCAGTGTCAGAAGCTGAAAACAACACGTGGTACTGCTTGCCTTCTACCCCCAAACCTGCTGACTGCCAGCGACGGCAAATTCTACACAGCATTCAGGCAGGTACCGTCTCAGCTCAGGGGTAGCGACTACAGAGCTTTCTAAATTTGGTAGTCATGAAAAAAGGTAGATAAAAATGGAAAGCATTCACTTATTTATTCATATATTCACTTAATCATGCAAAGTTTAGCAAAGACGTATAAATAGAGAGCCAGGATGGAGAAAGCACATTCTAAGTGTTGGGGACAAAATGTTAATAAAAGAACACTGTTCCTCCCAGACCGTTATAACTTACAGGCAATATAAAAAGAACACATATTATTTTGGTTTCTAAAATCATAGTTCTCACACTTAAATAAGTTTCTTAATCTTTCTAGGTAGGTCCTTCATCACACATTTTAAGAATTTTCATTCTTCTGGTCATTTCCAGAAAAAAAATGTGAGGAGGCATTTGTGGAAAGAAAACAATATTTTAAGTTAAATATTTTTGTTTTGAATATTAAGTTTATTGTATTATTATGTAAATTAAAATAACATTTTAAACATTTCTAATTTACATCTGTGAGACTGGACCTGGAGTAGCAGAAAGCATGGGGACCTGGTTTAAATCTCTGCTCACAACATGGTAGCTGCGTGGCCTGGCAGATTACTTACCTCAGAGTCTGTTAATTTATCTGTAAAATGACTGTGATGGATAACTTTTGGTGTTAGCTTGACTGGGCTACAGATTGCCAAAGATAATTGGTCAGGCATTATTCTGGGTGTTCCTTTCAGGGTGCTTTTGGATGAGATAAACATTTTAATTGATAGACTGAGTAAAGCAGATTCCCTCCTCGTGTGGGTGGGCCTCGTCTAACTGGTTGAAGGCTCAGCTAGAACCAAACCTTCTTCCTGCCTAACTGGGGAATTCATTTCTTTCCTGTCCTCAGTTCAAACGGACACATCGACTTTTCCTGGGCCTTGAGCCTGCCTGTCTTTCGACTGGAGTGACACTGTGAGCTCTCCTGAGTATCCAGCTTGCCGACGCAGCCTGAATTTCTTTACCAGCCTCTGTAATTGTGACAGCAAGTTTCTTACAATAAATGGTACATATCAGATACATGTGTGACCTCACTGGCTGCGGTTCTCTGGGGAGCCCAGACGCACAGCGGGCATGCTGACGGTGAGTGCAGGGGACAAATGCTGCGTGAGGTCCAGGCACAATGGATGCGTCATCTCTAGAAGAGCACCCTGAACACAGCTGCCCAGCACATGGTGCTGCCTGTTGGGATTTCGTGTCACGTGCATGTCACGGCTGCCCTGAGGGAGGCACAGGAGTCACCTCTGGGGCTGTCCTTCCAGCACTGATGCAACTCAACATCTTCCCCTTCTCCCCTCTCCCTCCCTGTGGTCACTGAATATTCTCCCCCTCTGGGGACCTCACCTCCCTGACCCCCTCAGAGCCCCTCACACCACTTCTCGACCTGTCTCTTCAGAGTGACACCTGTAGAGCATCCATTTTAGGAAGCACCTTTGCACAATGGCACTGACTGTCCCACACACCCCGAGGCAGCTGTTCCGTGGACCCCTTACTCCTGTGAGAAATCGAGGTTCACACGGTTGCTTCTTCCGGGCTCAATGCAGTGGGAGAAGCCTGTCCACACTCACGGAGTCGTGTACCTGGGCAAATCACATAGTTACGATAATCTCGGTTGTCCAATCTTTTCAAACGAGCATGAGTCCTTTTTCTGTGTATTTCACCAGGTATACAGGGGAAAACAAGAGTGCAGAGGCAGCTTATGAACTTCGGAGAGGGCTCCCAACAGCGTGGGTTAGAAAGGAGTGCGCTTCTATACTGAGGGCACCCACGGTGTCCATGGAGACAGGCCACAGCCGATGCCCCTTCAGGAAGGACGGGCAGTGGCTCCAGGCTGCCATTCGCTGCCAGCCCTTTTCAGGAATGCTCAGTACAGACGGCCACCTCCCCAGCGTC